GATCGTCGGTTCGAATCCTACTGAAAGAAGTCTGATGAGGAAATGTGGTGATTTCCGAAATAGCTATCACTTCTACCATTTTTTCAAATTATTGTTGCTTTTCCACAATAAATTTTCATTTAAAAAATGGCCTCGAGCTCATTATAAAATTGTTGAATATAATTGTTAAAAGGCCAAAAAATAACAAAAAACAAATTACTACTTATTATTATTTTGATTTGAGACTTTCATGTATTTTAAATAACTTAATTATTTATTAAGTATAAAATAGCTCAGTATTTAGTATGTACAGTGGGTGAAAAAGTTCTAGCCGCACCACATTTTGACAAGTTTTAACATTTTTTTGTTTGTTATTTAATTTTGGTAATCTTTTTATAAAAATGTAGTTTATTCTTTAACAAGAACCGTGTAAATCCAAGTTTCAAACTTTGTGCAATATTAAAAAAAAATCAGCGAATTTTCCACTTGAATTCAACATCTTTCAAAGAAATCTAATTAAAAAGCACGACATTTTTACGAAAATTCGAGGGCGGCTAGAATTTTTTCAACCACTGTATGTACATATATTAAGGTAAGAAAGGTATTATTATTATAAATATTATTGTAAAGGTGTGATTACTATTATTAATTCAGTCTTTAATTTAATTTAAATAACTTAATTATTTAGTATAAAATAGCTAAGTATTTAGTATTATGTATGCATGTATATAACGGTAGGAAAGGTAGTATTATTATAAATTATTATTATATATCAAATTATTATAAATATTATTATGAAGGTATTATTACTATTATTATTATTTTTTTATTATTACTAACATGAATATATTATCTACGCAATATAATTATCACTCTGAAATGTGGCCTGCCTTTCCATAATTTCTAGTCTTCTCAAATCAATCTCATGTTGTCTGACTCTCCATTTAATTTCAGCTTCATGTTTCTCCCTTTCCAATTCATTTTTTTCTCTTAACAATCTATTATTTTCCTCCATTAGTTTTATCTTCTTTTTTTCAATTTCCAAATATTCAACTTCGATCGACGAATTTGATCCTGAAGTGCGTTTTCTTTTTCGTGTCGACGATCGAAACATCGAGGACGACTGTGGAGGAGTTTGGGGCCTAGGGGGTAACGGAGGTGTTTGTGGGGCAGCTGGAGGTAATACCTCCTCGGTATTATTACCCTCAGTGTCGCTCGCAAGAAACTGCAACTGCATCTCCTCTTCATGGTGCTTTTAAGTTAAAAAATTCAAATTGGATACATATTCTTTGATACATATTGAAATATTCATATTATCCTTAAATTTAGCATTTCAGGAACACTATCATGTCCTGTGACGACCACTGGTGCCATAAGTTGCAGAACCAGTTTTTAATATCGGTCGCTTCCTTTGGGCGTCCAAGTCCGTTGCTTCCGGTTTGTTGCAATGATGCCCTTCGCAGCACCTCCCTCTCTTTTATATGACTTCTGTGAAAGATCTAGCATTTTAAGACATTCTAAAAGCTACAATTACTCACTCACTTTTGATCTGCCCAATACTTGCGCCATTTTGAAGCGTCTTTAGCAGCACCTTGTAAGCCGTTAAGGGTGGCAGCGAGATCACTCCACTTCTTTGCTCTTAAATGTGCTCCATCTACTGATTTAAATCTGAAAAATATTTGGGTAAATAAAACAAAACAAATATTTATCAATATTTCACATACCTATCATTGGCAAACTCAATATTTGTTTCCATGTATTCAACTAAATAAATCTTTTGCTCATTTGAAGCTTTTTTAGCTTTATTTTCCATCTTTTTATTTATTTTACAACGATTTTTAGTTTAAAGACAACCGAAAATTTACCAAACGCACCCAACAAAATGCCGTGAGTTTTTTGACAGCCAGTGTACACTATTTTGACAGCAAAAATACACGCTCACTGTTACAGAATCGAAACATTTGAGTTTATACATTTTCAAGTGTACATTTTAAAACTCACAGTTAGAGAATAGAGGCCCAGCAGTCGTTGAAGGTGTGTTAATTATAGCATTTTATTCATAATTGGTTTTCAGTTAATTAAAAATATATTTTATACCATACATTTTCAGCTGAATGTGCCCTTTATATTTGTGCAATTGTTTTGGATGGATGCCCTGATCCATCAATAAAATACCAGTATCCCAAACTGAGCCAATTGCATCAGGTCATTTCGCATTTAACACGTTGCAGATATGTATATCTCTGACAAGTGCCAGAATTGAAATCAAAATGCACAACCTTCCGAATCCATACAGAAATCCAAATATAAGGTGTGAGGAGTTAATACCATTATCGTTAGTGAAACGCTGTGATAGTAATTTTTCTTAAATTTCCTTCCTTTTTTCTTTTCATTCCTTTGCAGTTACATTAAGAAGCTAATAGAGGACAGAGCTGTAGATTATGAATGCACCGTTTTGTATGTAAAATTTGAGTATGCAATGAAATCTGTGTTCGTATGGAATAGTAGCTAAGGTCAAAAGGCTGGCTTTAGTAGAAAGCGGCATTCGCAGCATACCCTTACGAATGACTCACTGGCGCCGAGCCGTTGAAGAAATTTTGGCAAATAAACGTGCAAGAAATAGTTCCGATATTAGCAAGTCAATATTCTTGTTAAGTCTCATCGAAAAATTCCTTGTGGTGTAAAGAATAAAGGGAATGCCGGATTATACTAAAGCCAGCTTCCCCACATAAGCTACTACTCCATATGAACACAGAAATATAAATGTATCTAAAACTAAATAACTCAAATCAAATTGGATTGCATTTGCATAATATACCTAAAATTGGAATCTGTTTTGATTACAATTAAAATGGGTTGTTTATATTTTGATCGAAAAAATACAACTTGCATTTATTTAGATTATAGTTTTGAAAGAAATTGATTGCAATCGTAAATTGTAACAAAATTGTTAATAGAAATCTGCCTTAAATTTATGTTCCCCATGTAACGGTTATAAAATACGCTAAATCCGCACTATCTGCATTAACAATAAATATAAATTGGAATATTTCAAATAAAACGATTCATATTTATTCGTCTAATAAGAATTGTTTCTTTATTGAAAGTATTTAATACTGAATAATGTAGTGGGTAATGTTTAAAAATGAATTCTCAATATGTCCGCAGCTCAGGTTGATTTTAAGAAATCCGTTTAAATTTTTCGAATTACATCTACTTGAATATAGGATAGCTAGGCTTGCATACAGACGGTAGTTCCGTAAATATTTAAAATATGTTAGTTCATTCAATATTTACATCTGGGCCAATATATAATAACAAATATAGCCGAAAAACAAAGTTTCGAGTAAAATGAGTTTTTATAAAACAACGCCCCCCCTCCCCCCCATAAAATTCCGATTAATTTTAAATACGAAAATAACGATATTTTTTCACGGGGAAGTAATTTTTTTCATATTCCTTGTTTATACCTACCAGAGAGCTGCATGGATACACTAAAATTACATTTTAAGTCACTCGCTTTCTTTTCACATCTGCACACACTCGCACTCATTTATTTACACACATAACGAGCGATAGCATTGAAAAAACATTGTCGGTTGAGTGAGTAATTCACACTATCAAGTGCTCGATTCAAATAACAAGTGCTCGACTTGAAAAACAAGTGCATGGCATAACTGTTGTAATGAAAGTATCAAAGAAAAGANTCACTCGCTTTCTTTTCACATCTGCACACACTCGCACTCATTTATTTACACACATAACGAGCGATAGCATTGAAAAAACATTGTCGGTTGAGTGAGTAATTCACACTATCAAGTGCTCGATTCAAATAACAAGTGCTCGACTTGAAAAACAAGTGCATGGCATAACTGTTGTAATGAAAGTATCAAAGAAAAGACATTTGTAAAGACAATTTTTGTTAATTTTATTGGTTTCCTAACTGCATATTATAATGCAAAAATATCAACTGATTAAGGGCATCATCATTTGACAAAAGGTGGCCTCTTTTGTCAGAAATAACATTTCCAGCAGAAGAAAAAACTCTTTCTGACGATGCGCTAGTTGAAGAGTGGCTATTACTCTATGATTGAGTTTATGCAGCAGCGGCATTTCGCATTTGTGTACCTCCCACTAATTAATTATATCGAAGTCCGTATGAAAATATACCTCAATATTTTCATATCGCCGCAGCTCTGCAGTAGCTTTATCAGTTCTGCTCACAAAGGTAGGTTGTTTAAGAAGACCTGAAAACAGCTCAAAGTTGTCTGAAGGTAACAAAGGTGTATCCGCAATTTGTGGTTCCGTTGTACTGTCAGAATTCTCAGTTAACGTTCTCATAATTTGTAAACATTTCTCTTTTGTGTACCTTTGCTCAGATTCGGTAAAGTTCTTGAGCCCTTTTGCTGGCGGGTATAAAAAAAGCACAATTTTGCGCAAATCTGTTAGTTTTCAACAGAAACTGTTTTTAAATAATAAAGCAACTTATTTTTCAAGTCCCTTATAAAGCCGATGTCTTCTGAGGTAACATTGCATTTCTTTTGTAGACTAATTATATAAATGTACGTCAGGTGCATAACTAAATAATTTAGTAAACCTAATATATTTAAAAAAATACTTCATCAATATCCATTTTTTTTTTAATTGTCGTATTCTCCTAATTGTTTGAAGTCAATTTGTGTCATTCGATTGCTCGACTTGCTTTTCATAACAGCATTTTTCACTTGCTTGACTTGATTTGGAAAGAGTATATCAATGCCATATTTGAAATCAAATGAGTACACTGCAGCTAAACATTGATTTCAAAACTAACTATGAATCTCACTGTTTGTACTAACCTACTACTAACCTTATAGAGTTCACAGCAATGAGTTCATACTGTTTAGATGGAAGTGAGTAAACTTATGCTGTTGTCTGATACCTACACAAGAACCCCATTAACAACAAGTAATTTTTAGCAAAAAAAAACCGACTTCAACTCTAAATAAACCGACTTCAACTCTAAAATAATATATTTATATATATATATGTATATATCTCATGATCCACTGATCGGATCTTAACCACATTAGTATGGAACCACCTCTGAGACACTACCTTTCCGATGCAAAAAGAATTACCGAAATCTGTTGACGTGGTCCAAAGTTATGCGATAACACACTTAAAAAAAAAAATATTCCGACGAACTGATAACCTCCTCCTTTTTTGGAAGTCGGTTAAAAAACCGTTTGGACTCAACATATATTCCTTTACTGCATTTATACCCCTCTTCATAGCGCACTCGATGAAGTCGTGTTCAAAAGTATACAAAATCTGCTATTTTTATACGTCATTTTTTTATAAATAATGGAAACAAACAATAATTGTAATTTATTATAACAATAATTCAAATTTAAAACGGGATGTATAAAGAAAACCAGCCTATTTTCACTTCACGTCAAATGAATGATGCGTTTATACTTGTTTTCTAACTGATGTGAGAAACAAAAAACCGATTTGAAAACAAATTGAAGTCAATACACTTTACTATTTCAACGTGTTTTGAAATTTAGTTTATGCATCCGTTTTTAATCACAGCGAACTGGCTCAAAGCGCTTTATGTGTCGGTATAAAGAAGGTAATAGAGCCTTTTGATTCTTAACAACATACATACATTAGACATTTTATTTAACTGTTCAAATGGTAACAATTACATATGCCATAAAAGTTACTATACATTAAATTATTGTTTTATAAAAGTACACTTTTTCAATTTCATTTTAATTTAGACAGTGGAAATATTTTCATTTTAAAAATGTATCACATATTTTTGAAGATTTTCAAAGCTTTCAAAAAATAATGCAGAACACAGAAATGAGCCTTAGGAGTAATAAATAAGCAATTGCTTTTCTTAAAATTTCAGACCTTTTACTCGATTTTTTCAAACAAATTTAAATAAAAGGTCTGAAATTTTAAGAAAAAGCAATCGCTTATTTTTGAACTATGTATTTTATATACTTATTTTCTGTCTCAAAATGGCTTCTCGGTCATGCGGTGGAGTAAATTGAAAAACGAAAAAGAAAAATATTTTAATAGAAATTTGTTTAAGAAACCAATTTAGTTAATAAAAAAAAGAGATTGAACATTAATAATGACGATAATGCTTCAGTAGACGCCAGGCCAATAACGTAAATCATCAAACAAACATTCGTTAGCGGATGCGGAAAACATCGTCCCAACTGTACGTTTGCCTCCAATTTCTTTTATTAATAATTGAATAATTTTAATTTAGTTTATTTCTACTTTCGCTTAAATTAATCAAAAACCAAACTAGACACAGAAAAATGCAGCGATTTTGAGTAAGGAATACGAATTTATGTTAAATGTCATTAAAATTATTTGTCATTGTATTGGCCCTGAAGAAGACCATAATAAACGGTCAAAACGTCGGCAAAAAAAAAAATAAACAAGTAAGAAAGTCTAAGTTCGGGCGGAGCCGAACATTAAACACCCGGCGCAAGTATTAAATATATGTTTTCCACCTTTCCGAAAGCTACCGCTACATGATAAGCCAGGGTTTATAAATTTTAAGTAAATTAGCGTCCTTAAATTTCGAAATATTGAAATTTCAAGCATTTCTGAAATTTACCGTTATATGAAAAGCGGCCGTAATTTTAGTCCGATTTCAACAATTTTCAACGGTTTGCTTTTATGTGGCAAGCACAATAACAGTACCGACTTTGGTACAAATTGGTAGAACGGCTACCGAGATACATATATGTGATCATAAGTGGGCGGTGCCACGCCCATTTTCCAAAATTTTATCACAAACATATTTCTTTGTTAAGAATTGTTGCAACCATCAATTTAAAAAAAATTAGCTTTAATATTTGACGGGGGCAGCGCTCGTACGTGCGCTCCAAGCGCTCATAGAAGAGATCCTTGGATGCCTCATCCTTCTCTTCCGTCGGGGCAAGGGGTCAGATGAGCGAGATGTTGAAGAATCTCGCTTTGATGCGGATTGTGGCTAGACGC